CCAAAAGAGAGGTCACTGAAATATCAAGGGAATGAGATGATCGCGTCCCTTCCTCCCTTTGCACAGGTTCTAAATTCTAATGTAATGCACGCTCCGCTCCGTATTGCACACGCAAAGGCGCCCTCCTGAGCACCGTGCGTTTAGGCGGAGATTACACTCTTCTAGTTCTAGATCTAGATCGAGATCCACACTACACTGTAGAGGCAGAGGCAGGTTAAATTAGCCGAATTGGGGTTGTATTGGTTGGAGTGTAGGAGTGTAGGGAATAGGTGTGTCATGTAGTGTAGGAGGATTGCAGGATGGTAGGACAGTAGAGTAGAATAGTAATCATTGGGGCCAAATCCAGTTTATCCCACATTTACGTGCGTTGAGAACGTTCGGGGTAGTTAAACGATTACGTTTTGACATTGGCTGACACTCTGAAATGCCTACCATACCATAAACAAAAACAACACTGAAAGGTCATGTAGACTCCAAACAATAACAAACTGAAACCTGTGACCCGGAAGTATTATTTTCTATACCAGATAATTTTACAAGCGGAAAAGTTATTTTTATTATGAACAGCGCTGTAATTCCACTGCTGAAAATATCTTAAACAAGAGGCAGAGTAATTTTTCTTCACGTTAAAATTTACTCAAAAAGAGGGTTAATTAAGATTATGGGAAAACATATATAGGTGTATAAGGAAATTAAATCTGACTCGCTAAATTCCTGAAATATTAGTGTCTTTTTCAGTGTGTTTTCAAATTGGCTTTGGAAAAAAGTTGAACGAACTGAAATCTTTATAAGGCAGTAAATGTAATTAAACTGCCATTGTAGAGATAAATAAGTCAAATCTGAAACCTATTTTACAGATGTGTTATATTATATTTTTTCTAGATCTAGCTCCAATATGGTAACCTCATATACAACTTCCTTCTAAAAATGTGCGCATGCGTTCCTCCAAACGTGGCGACTGAGCAACTTCCTGCCAGACTGTACAGGAATTTTTGTTAGTCACAGTAACCGATAGAAAATTTTCTAAATAGGACCGCTAGTAGTGGTCTATGGTGAATCATTGTGTTTAGCAACATCAGGAGGTCTGGCAACAGAAGAAAATACTGACTTTTTCACCATGAGTGCTTCGGGCGAGTTTGGAAATCCTCTAAGGAAGTTCAAATTGGTCTTTCTTGGAGAGCAAAGCGGTTAGTTTTTACTGTTTTTTTTAGAGACGAACAACCTGATTTTCCTCCTTCAAACACTGTCTCCACTCAATGTTTTAGACAAACTTAGACTTGGACTTGGACACAGCCTAGTGTCATTGTTTTAATGTAGTTATGCTTACCTTTTTTATGTCTCTAGATTTTATCTTCTCTTATTTATGTGCTGAAATCTCAGATCAATAAGCCGTCTTGCTCATGATTGATTGTTGAATGGCGGGGCCTGTTTGATTGTAGGAAGTAGCTATTCTCACCCCAGTCCCAGGTGAGAATAATATGATCGATGTCTCACCCTGAATATTCAGATTCTTCAATTGTAGTTGGGGCAACGTTCCTGGACTATACATTGTAACATTGTACTTCATGTGAAAATGCTTTCAAAAGGTACTGCGAGAAAACAAGACTGCTCGACTTTGGCAGGCTTATCTATTTTGCATTCAGTCACCCCTAAAGTTAAAGCAAAAACTAAATCACAAGAAAGTCCCTCCCCCCCTGTTCACACCTTACCCACACACTCACACGGCGTGCACACACACACCGGCGGTCACTCTATTTGCAAATAACCAAAAAATCTCCATAGCGGAAACCGTTAGGAGAAATAGTTCGAGTTTATTTTCCCAGGCATTCTGAGATATAGATCTAGATCTAGAGCCGGCCTTACTTTATTTTCCAACTCATGGTTTGCAAATCGATCTGCTTGACTTCCAATGAAGTATTCATCAATGATTGGAAGCATCGTTCTTGTTCTTTAAAAGAAATAAAATCAGTTAGACTGCAAATCATAGGAGTGTAGGTTTAAAGAGAGGGTTGTCTTGAAACTGGAATTTAAAGCCACCATCTCATCCTGAATTGATGGGAAGCGTCATTCTTGTTCTTTAAAAAAATAAAATCTGTTAGACTGCAAATTATAGGAGTGTAGGATTAAAGAGAGGGTCTTGTTGAAACCGGAAGTTCAAGCTACGGTCTCCTCGTGAAAAAGGAAGGGAAAGTAATCACATTTCGTGAAGCAGGTTTGCAACTGACTTACAGTAGACACTCAATCATAGTGAAAACCTAACACTCCATCCAGGAAAAAATTTTTTGCTGGTTGGGCTACTAATTTATTAAATTGCTAACATAATGGGAGTTTCCGCTGCTGATGTCGATCTGATTTATCTAACTGATAATGCCAATCGCCCGCTGCACTTTGGGCCAGAAATTTGGCTCCACATGAGGGATAATTTTTGGGCGGCTCTACATTAAGTACTATAGTTATGGGAAACTCTTGGACGAAAATGAATGAATCTTGGCAGCCAATGAGAGGAAAGACCCAACTTACTACATGTGAGCATCAAATGCGGATTGATTTCTAAAACGGGAGAAATTGCTGCGTTTGCAATTTTCCTCTGTGGTTCAAACACTAAGAGCTGTGCACAGATTGGTAGCCCACCAGGGAAGCGCCCCACATGTCTCCGTTATTGCTGTAAAATTAACTAAAGTTTCCCTTTGTGTAGTACTTTTTACGTTCCAATTTAGAATTACCATGTGTCCAGTGATAAAACACTAAATCTGGAAACTGGATCACAAACACATCATGCGAGCTGCAGCATGTGATTGGCTGCCTAAAACTAAATAGGTTACCAATGAGTTCATCGCAGGTTTTCCTGACTCCGATTTGTTTAGTTGTAGGAGTGATCGGTAGCAGTTCAATTTTATCTCAAGATTTATCTTAAACCACTTCTTGACGCAGAATGTTTAAATTTTAGGACACTATAGCGGAAAGATAAATCTCTTACCTTCTCATCTTAAAGTCAAAAATCAAGCTCCTTATAGTTTTCGCTATACCCGATGCGGAAGTGTTTCCAGCACCAAAAGTATCAATATAGGTTCATTTGTGTGTACAAACTTCAATGTCAACATCATATCATTTGTTTGCCCTATTTTCTTATTGGCTGCCAAGTTTCATTCATATTGGTCCAGAAATCTAGAGCAGACCGAGTTTGAGAAAGTTAATCACTTACGTTCTGACCCGGTCCAAAAATTCACCCGCAAACGGGGACCAAAATTTCGCTGCGTGCGGTAGAGCTGGATCCTGCTCGCCAAATCTAAGAATGGCGATTCACGATTCAGTCGGCATCAAAGAATCGCGAATACACGAGCGTTCGTGGAACACTATGCCTCGGACTCGTTGTATGCCTGAAACTGAACAGTGTCATATATATCATTGCGACTTCGCGAATCACATTCTTGTTGCCCCGCCATCCTCTCCGACCCCCCCCACCCTTCGTTGTGCTGCTCTACTGGCCTCAATTAGCGATCCCATAAAAATCCACATGAAGGTGCCAAGTTTCATATATACTCAAATTCATTACTGTCTTACAGATTTCCCTCAAAATGCAGCAAGAAATTAAAACACTTGTGTATTTTGGTAGTGTACCTGTTTGGAAAATAGATAATAAACCAGAGATTGGACTGACTAAATAATGGGGATCAATGTGGTGTAGTGGCTAACAGTGAATCATATAAATAAGAGATTGGACTGACTAAATAATGGGGGTCAATGTGGTGTAGTGGCTAACAGTGAATCATAGCTTAGCATTTTATCATACACTAACTCTATAACTTCTGTCTTGTGTTAATGTTAATAATTTTTCCTCTTTCTTTCAGTTGGAAAAACATCATTGATCACACGCTTTATGTACGACAGCTTTGACAATACATACCAGGTTTGTGGACATCATCCTGCTCTAAATTTATAAAAAATATTTTTTTGTCAGTTGTACCTTTTGGTGATACTTTAGTGTCTTGGAACTTTACTAAGTGACTGTATGTTGGTTCCAGGAAATGTTGTATAAATACTTTAAAATAATTTTGGCCAAACCGATTCTTCTTTCAACAAGTGTGTTTAGCAGCCACAGTCTTTTTGTGTGTGTGTTCATTTTTGTCAGAACTTCCATGAAATTCTAGTCTCCCAAGAAACCACATTTATGTCACCTCTAGTTTGTTTGCTGTCTTAGGTAATTTCCCAGTTGTTAAGTAGGACAACTAATTCGACTTTGAAAAGAAAATGTTTTGTTTTTCCTTGACCAGGCCACAATTGGAATTGACTTCCTCTCCAAGACCATGTACTTAGAAGACAGAACGGTAAGTGCTGTTTTTGCTGGATACATTTTCAGCATCCTTCTCTTCTTACACTGACCACAAAATTTTTCTGAAATGTTTTTCTATTCAGTGATGTCGTATTGGTCCGTTGAAAATGGTGCTTATGTTCATTTGGGTGGAAGTTGGTCATGTAGCGATAGTGGTGACAAATGCTATGAAGATGAAGATCAAGCACAAAAAGTGATATAAAATGGGTTTTTTAAAATATTGATTAAATGAAAGAAGTTCAGAGAGAGAGAGAGAAACTGATCAAAGTGTTTTGAATTGTTGACCTTGTATGGGAGTAGCTGCAATGTCTTTGAGTCTGGTTGTGGCATTCCGATTTGTTGTGTCAGAAAATGCAAGAAATCTGATTTTTGTTGTATACTGCTGGGCTGTTGGTGGTTCTCATCCCTCCCAAAGGGTAGAAAAGTTCTTTTGAGTAGAAAAAAGGAATAGACTTGGGAAGGTTTTTTCCCTCCACTGGGGGGGGGGGGTCTGTATGTTTAGTTTAAACTTACTAGACTTGAGGTAATTTTCGGTACAAGTCCATGGATGTATAGAGACTATTGGTTCAGTGAACTAGTTTTTTTCATTTTGGAATTTCAGTACAGATTGAAATTCACAATTTAAGTGCTGAAATTGACAGCGCTATTTAAAGTGACTTCGAAGGTTTCTCTGAGCTTTTGCATGATATTGAGGTACTTAGTTGATTAAGAATGGCATTTGATTTGCTTGTTGCTGTAATTGTCATTTGTTTGTTTATTTGGTTATTCAGATTCGGTTACAGCTGTGGGACACGGCAGGGCAGGAAAGATTCCGCAGTCTGATCCCCAGTTACATCAGAGATTCTTCCGTGGCAGTCGTGGTTTATGACATCACAAGTGAGTGGCGCTTTTTCCTGTAGCTGTTCGTTAATGATTGAAATAGTTGTAAAACATTCATGTCAGTACAAGGGCCAATGCTACTTAAAAACAATCTTATGATAACTTGGAGACAATTCAACTTACTCGTAAGGATGTCTGGCATCACCATATGAAGAGTGAGGAAGAAGAAGAAATGTTTTGATATGATTGGTTCTTGAATTTCACGCCAGCGATGGTTTTAGTGAGATATGGTAAGTGTTCAGTTATGTAGTCCTGTCTTCTCAACAGTCCATCGTAAAGTTTGTGAAATAGAAGTGTTCAGTATTAATTCAGTCGGACCTGCC